AAAAAAAAAAAAAAGTCTTCCTTTCAATATTTCCTTTATTTTGGGGTTAAGAAAAAAGTCACTGGGGGCCAGATCAGGTGAATAGATTGTATGTTCCAGTCCAGTTATTTGTTTACTGACTAAAAACTTCCTCACAGATAGCACCATGTGAGTTAGTGCATTGTTATGGTGCAAGAGCCATGAGTTGGCAGCTGAAAGTACAGGTTGTTTTCGTCTTTTTCAGGCAGTTGTTCAGCCCTTCCGAATAGAAAACTTAGTTAGCTGTTTGTCCATTTGGTACAGATTCATAGTAAATAATCTTTATGTTATCAATGAAAGTTCTCCACATCATCTTGACTCTTGATTTGGACTGACAGAACTTTAATGGTTGGCAGGCAATTGACTGACTTCCATTGTTCCATTGTGCACTTTGACGCTTTGTTTTAGGGTCCTATTTGTACACCCATGTATTCATCACCAGTGCTAACATGGACCCAAATATCATCTTTTCTCTCCTAAAGGTCTTGGCAAACTTCTATTCTCTTTTGCTTTTGTTCATTGGTAAGTTCCTTGAGGACCATTTTTGTATACATCTTTCTCATGACAAGATTTTCTGTTAAGATTTTCCTATAAGTGTTTGTCTGTTGGTGTTTACTTGATCTGTTATGGTTCTCACAGTCAGCAATGATTTTGACAAACAATTTGACAAATCTTTGTAATGTTTTTTCAGTTCTGTTTGTTGTTGGTCACCCTGACCTCTTTTCATCAGGATTTTTCTCTCTTCGAAAAACATTTAATACATTTGTACACTGCTGTTTTCTTACATTGTCCTCATAAACCTGGACTAATATCCTTTTTTTTTTTCTTTTTCTGGCCGGAGCTGGGTTCGAACCCACCAACTCTAGCATATGGGGCCAGTGCCCTACCCTTTTGAGCCACAGGCACCACCCCAACATCCTTGATTTCATTTCTACTCCTGCCAGGTTTAACAAGAAATTTAGTGTTTGTTGCTCTAATTCAAGCCTGAAATTCTTCTGATGGCTCCCCAAAACATGCAATAACAATAAAGAATACCACTCAGCAGGACACGGCTACATGGTTGATATGAAGATAGCTGTGAGACACTGATATACTCAAGATTATGAAACCTTACCATGCTGTTTGTATAGTATATCACCATACACACACAGTAGCATGTTAGAAAACTTAATTATCAGACCTTGTATGTACCCAGCATTCTGCTAATACCATGCTCTCCTGATTACTATAGACATCAAAGTCTTTTTTTTTTTTTTTTTTTTTTTT